AATGTCCACAAGGTCGTGTTCCTAAGCAGCTCCCGGATCGCAGCATCAGCACAGAAGGACGACCAATACACGCTATGATGACGGCCAATGCAGCCACCCACAAATACCAGCATCCCCCGGCAGTTCAGCCACGGCACAGGCAGATAGCAAGAAAGGCAGTCTGGTGGCGTGCTCGGAACCCAGGCATTCGGTGCCTCATCGCAAAACTGGATGTGAGCAGGGCATTCAAGTGGCACGACGTGGCGCCCTCGGACACCGCAGACTTTGGAAGTGCACTTCCAGGCAAACCGGTGGGCATTGAGGGCAGGGTCAAGATGATCTATGGCGGCCTCCCCTTTGGTTGGTGTGGAGCGCCCGGTGAGTATATGGCCTTTGCATTAGCTGGGAGGGCCTACCACGAAAGCTTCAAGCCAGCGGAGGAGACGGTCAACGGCCCATCACCCTTCTCATCGGAGTGGCTGATGGACGACAGTGTGGTGGTAGAGCCGCTGATTGGCGTGCGCCCCTGGCAGGCGGTAGATGCATTGGGTCACGCCATCGAGAAGATCTGGGGCAAGGATGCTTTGAACCTCGAGAAGCAGGTTGAGGAGGGCACACCGGCGACCGAGCAGATTGTTTGGGGCCTCTTCATGAATGTCGAGAGCATGACGATTCGCCTGCCTGAACCCAAGGCTCTGAAGATGCGCTACTTGCTGGCCCTACCCGAATTGCAACCCGGAGGACGCGCAGTGCGCCTTCGAGTAGCCCAGGAACTTCGCGGTTTGGGACAGTATGCGGCCATCACCATCCCACCCCTCAGGACTGAGCTCAACACCATCGACATGTTTCTCAGCCCGAGCAAATGCGAAGGCGGCTACATCCGTCCGAATGTCCCGAACCAGGAGGAGGTGGAGACCGCATGGAGATGTTGGGACGAGATGTTGGCGCTGTTCAGGTTGTGGTTCGAGACCCCCTATGAAGGCTCCTTTGAGGCATCGATGGAGAGCATGTTGACGACCAGAGAGTTGCTTGCGCTGCCAGGGATGAAGGACCGCCTAAGATGGATTGGGGGCGACGCGACTCCTGAAGTGGCGGGGGCGCTTGACTGGAAGTCCAAGCACTACATGCGGGAGAGCGCCAAGGAGATGCTGCAAGCTTTGAGCAGGGTCCCGGAACTTAGCAATGAGCCGGACATGAAAATCGCTCTAGCTGAGCTGCTGTGCTTCGTTGGCCTCGCAGCAGCAGAAAGCCACATGTGGCATGGAGAACTCATCGCCTATGCCACCGACAACCAGAACGTGCGCTCGTGGTTGACGAGGAGGCAATCCAAGTGCGCGGTAGCGCGCCACATCTTGAGGGTCCTGGGCATGTTGGAGGTCAGGTATCACTTCAAGACAGTGGCATTCTACATTCGCACCTATCACAACATCACGGCAGACTGGCTCAGTAGGGAAACGAAGAGCATCGTCGAGAAGAAGCTGGAGCTTGATGGATGGGTCAAGGTGGACGCGCAGGAGGACTGGGAGCGCTACATCGAGGAGTCCGTGAAAGGCATCTTCAAGTGGCCAGGAGGTGAGACGATCGGCAGCCTTGAGGTTCCGGAGGGAGCAAGTGTGAGGCCTTACCGCCCCACGGTGGCCAAGGGATTCGCAGTTGAACTCGGTCGAGGTCGCCTACCCTGGGCAATCGCTTGGGCGCGCTTGGGAGGCCAGGTGTGCACGGCCCCGGGGCAAAGGTCCGAAGGAGAAGCCAAGCTCGAGGCGATGACGCTGGGAGAGCCGAATCATCTGAACGGGGACATTGACCTGACCTGGGCGTTTGCTTCAATTGCGGAGGACAGTTGGGGAGGGAGTCGCACCTTCGTCAAGAACTTCGTGAAGGAGTACCGCCCGGAGAATGTGCTGGTTGACATGGCCCGAGAAGGACCCATTGAGGAGGTGAAGATCAGCTTGGAGAAGCTTGGCTATGGCGTGGAGCTCAACGAATGCCTGACGACCTACTACGGCGATCCAGTGGCCAAGAGGAAGACCATCCTACTCGCAAGCCTTCAGCTGAGAGGAGGAAAGTGTGCAGGCCCTGGCTTGGCGCCTAGGAGTGCCTCAGAGCCAACGAGCATACAGAGGACGCTGGACCACGCAGCCAATGTGGCGAGACCGGAGTGGTTTGGTGGTAAGGCCGAGTTGACCCTGAACACCAAGATCTCCACTACAGGGGACCGCATGCTTCCTTGGCCAGCCGGCCACTGCATGAGCATTGGGGGCGACGAGAAAGAACGCAAGGAGCTCGTCTATGACATCAGAGGGCCTGCCCTGACGTGCAGAAGGGGAAGAACCATGATGGTTGTCGACCACCGTGGGACTACAGCCCAGGTGCGAAGGATCACCGCAGAGGAGGAATGGCTTCTCAACGGCGGGGGCATCGACGAGCTGCGGACCCTGCATGAGTTGGGCACCACAACAAACTACTACAAGAAGGATGCGGCCATGAAGTTCCCGCAGCAAAGCGCACATCGCATCCTGAGCTGGTTCGAACGCTGGAGGCAGGACTCGCACGAGGCTGACCGGGCGGAGGATCAGAAGGTGGGCGTGTGCTATGATGAGGACCGCTTCAACACGGATGAGCAGGTGAAAGCATGGATGCGTGCTTGGCAAGGTGATCACCAGAACCCCAGGGCGAGCTATGAAAAATGGTTGGCCTCCCAGAAAGCCGGGGGGTTGGATGATGAGAAGATTGGAGGACGTCGCCAGCCGAGTGCGAGAAGGGCGAAATCGGCACCCCCAGACAAGCTAGTCCTCCCCAGCGCCATAGGCCGGGGGAGAGAGCGACTGAAGCTGGATGCCAATCGAGAACTTCGTCGAGATCAGGCATGGCTGGATGCGCTGGCAGCAGAGGCGGTCATGTCAAAGTTGTCGGAGGGGACGAGGGCCGGCTATGAGGTGGGTTGGAGACAATGGTGCCTTTGGAGAAGACTCAGCAACAAGGGCGTCTACCTCACCGGCGAGAACAAGGAGGACCGGAAGACCGACGAGGACGAGCTGCTAAGGTTCATGACCTACCTGGCACACGTGATGGGCAGGTCAGAAGGCACAGTGAAACAGCGGCTTTTCGCCATCAAGATGGGTCACCTGGTTGCGGGACACGACGACCCTACGATGAACAGGGTTCGCATTTGGGCTGCATTGAACGGGTTCAAGCGTTGGCAGCCCGAGACCAAGAGGAAGTACCCAGTCCTGCCCGGAATGCTGTCATGGATCAAGAGGCACTTGAACACGAGCGACAGTCTGAGCAGGTGCGATCAGGTGATCATTTGGGCGGCCATCATGGTTGGATTCTTCTTCCTGCTGCGTGCCTCGGAGTTCCTCATCACAATCGGAAGGACCTGGGGCAGAACCAGGACATTGAAGGGCAGCGACGTTGAAGCCAGAAAGGACAACCAGCAGGTGACCAACTTCCACGTTGCCGAGGAGGTGGTCATCTATCTCAAGGGTTCGAAGACGGACCAGTATAACCAGGGCACAGTCCGCAACCAGTTCAAAAGTGGGAGTGAACTATGTGTGGTCAGCGCCTTGGCGGACTACCAGAGCATGAAGCCGGAACGTTTTGCAGGAGCTGAAGAAAACCAGCCCTTGTTCAGGCTCGAAGACGGCAATCCCCTACAAAGGGGTGACATCCAGAACCTGATCCAATTGGCGGCAGTTGCCGATGGACAATCTACGACCAGGTATGGGTCCCACAGCCTTCGCATCGGGGGTGCCACAGCCATGTACCAGACGACCAAGGACTTGGATGTGGTGAAGCGATATGGAAGGTGGAATTCAGACGCCTTCCATGGCTACCTTTGGGAATCCCATGAACGGCAAAAGGATCTGGCGAAGGGCATGGCATGCGCAGATGGCCAATTGCTCGCACCCAGAAAGAACAAAGGCTACGAGGCCAGCTCGCAGATCCAGGAGAGACAGAAAGCCGAGGCTGAGAGCAAGCCGGTGAAGCAGTCGGGAAAGGTGGGAGCGCTTCCCCATCGAGATGAAGTTGGAGCCTTAGAAGATCTACGTGACGAAGGGCAGGTAGATGATGGCTACACCATCTCGAATAAGGTCACCGTGACCCCCGAGGTGCTCTACGGCTAGCTCGCCTACGAAAGAAGCGTTCGGCCAATAGGCTGCTGGATAGCACAGACTTCAGCACAGCGGCAAAAC